CCAAAAGGAGGGGCCTGCGGTAGTAAAGGCAGAGAGGTTGCAATGCCCAAGCAGGAGAGAATGGTGGGTGGTCGGATGCCTGGCTGGGGAAGCCCGTGCGCCCCTTTGCCCACCCGTTCCCCCTTTCTCTCTCATTGCTGGGAAGAGACTGGGTGTCCTGGACAACATCAGGCAGGTTCTTGCCTTAACCTCTCTGTGCCCATTTCATCCATACAGTGCAGCCAGCCGGATCGGCCTTGCAGAGTGGAAGATTGGGGACATAAGAGTAGGCCTCCTTCCCTCCCCTTACCTCCTTGGGGTTTCCCAGAAGAAACAGTGGGTTTGGACACATTGTCCCCTGGGGTGCCGCCGGAATGACCTTCAGGGACGATCTAGTCCAACCTCCTCTTTCACAAATTGGAAAACTAAGGTCTGGAAAGGGCCAGGGGTTTATCTAAGGTCACATGGTATATTGGGACAGGGGCGGTTGGGGGGCGGGGAGTGCGGGGCTGAAGCCACCTCCTCTCCATGGGCTGAGGCTCCCTTCTGGAGCTGCCCTGGGGCCCTGGTCAGGGACAGGGATGTGGAGGTGAAGGGCGTACACCAGATGGGGAGAGGGTGAAGGGGTCAGACAAGGGAAGGCGGGGAGCCCCTCTTTGCTGGGGACCCAGCTTGGCCTCACATACCCCTGATTCAGCTCTGGGTCTCTCTGCTCTAGTCGTATTGACTTTGATTCGTCATTAAAAACAAGAAGGGGAAAAAAAAATAGCCCTTAAGGCAGACAACAGCCAACTCCTGCTCAGGAGGAATGAATCAACCCTGCTGGCTGGCCTCCCGCCATCCATCTCCAGGGATGGGCCTGGAGGCTGCCTGGACTCCGAGCCTCTTGGGGGAATCACACTTTTGTTTCCAGGAAGGTATCCTGGCATCCTGGAGCCTCTGCCAGGAGAGACCACCAGGGCTGTCTGGCCTCCTCTGGAAGTTTAGGGCTTCTGGCCAGGGTGGCCTTCGTTCCGGATGGCTTGGCCCAGAGGCCTCATGAGGCCAGAGTCTGTCAGAGAGGAGTAAGATCAGACCACTGGTTCTCAACCCCGGGGTGGGGGTACTTTTTAAAAACTTGGCCTTACCAGCCCCAAACCCCTAAATTCTGATTTGGTGTCTCTGGGGTAGAACCCTGGAAGCTGGTTTTGGGTTTTTTTGTTTGTTTGTTTGTTTGTTTGTTTTTTAAGCCTTTCAAGGGATCATGGCGCTGGAACAGGATTAAGAACCACTGAAAAAAACACTGCGACAAGTCAAATATTGGATGGATGTGAGAGGAAGAGGAAGAAAGTAGATGTACCCCAGTTTCTGATTTGGGGGACCCTTGGGATTGGGGGGTTTCAGAGGAGGGGCTCAGGAGAATGAGGCAGGACCTAGTTTGGGCCAGGTGGCAGGTAGGGGGCTCACATGATGCCTGGGTGGGTTTATCCTGAAGATGTTTGCAGCTCCGAGCTTGCGACAGCCCCCAGGCTCCAGCCGCCACCTCAAGTCCCCAGTCCAGTCCAGCCCTCCTTCTGGAGCTGTGACTGTCACTCGCAGAGGGCTGGCAGATTTCCAAGGGGCCCTCATGACTCTAAACCATCTGGGTGCTCCCTTTGTGCATGCCGGTGACGCCCACCCTGACCGTCCCAGGACACCAGGAGACGCCAGCCTAGTTCTCACTTCCTTTTGGGTCAGGTGTGTGTCTAGGTTTGGGGCTTGTCATTTATTTAGTGCCAGTGAAACCTGATTGGGGTCTTAGTTAACCTGGAGGATGTCTCTAGAAAGGTGCCACAGGGCTCTGGCCTAGATGTGGACGAGGTTGCTGGGGGCCCCAGAGTCATGAGCCATTAGATTCTCACAAAGTGGGACAAGGATCAGAACAAATGAAGAAATTAAGCAAAAGTCCTTCACTTGAGCCTAAAATCCAACCAAGTAGACAGTGGTGGGGAAGGGCTTGGGGCTTTTCTGGGCAGCAAGTGCTATATGATCACTTATACTGATCTCTGGTTGTATTAACAAAGATAGACCATGTAAAAAGAGGGAGGGATGGATCAGCTCTTTGGTACCACTTAGACAACAGTCAACAGCAGACTCAGTTTGTATCATGTACTGCAGAAGAAGATAGAGACTGGACCAAAGAAGTCTGGGGCCGGGGTTGCAATTTAGGGCCCTGGGCGGGGGGCGGGTGGATATGAGGGGAAGGGAATGGTCAGCTTGAGGAGAAAACCCAGGGGAGGTGGATGCTGCCTTTAGGTCTCTGGCAAGGCCAGCCCAGGGAGAGGGCACCAACAGGTTTTTTTTATGGCTTAGGGCCTCAGGAAAGGGGCATTGGGGCAGCCCAAGGTAGGCAGAGCTGCCTGGGAAAGCTAGTGAGCTCGCCATCACAGGAGGTGTGCAAGCTGAGGCCAAGGTGACTTTTCAGGTCCCTTAGGGCCTGAGAGCGTGTGGCTGTGGTTCCAGCAGAGATGTGAGTAGTGTGTGGGGAACCCGAGGAGCAAGATACTGACCCAGGGGAAGGCTTCTGAAAGGAGGTGGCATATCAGGATGAGGGGAATGTCAGCTTCATGGAATCAGCATTCCAGGCGGAGGGAATGGCATGGGGCAAGGGAAGACAGCGGGTGGGCCGTGGAGGCAGGGAGATGGTTTAGGTGGGGTATGCCGGGGTCCAGTTTCAGGCTACGGCAGTGGGGTGACGAGGGGCAGTGGGTGAAAAGTCCTGAGGAGGAAGAAGAGCCAGGACGTGGTAAGGAAGGGGTCCCCCCCGGAGAGTCCCCTCAAGGTTTTGCTTGGAGTCACCACTGGTGTGACCAAGGCTGTGAAGTCAGGCCCTCGACCCTCCGATTGGCTTTGGGGCCAATCTGAATGCCCCCTTCGGGGTGGACCCCCGCCTGGGAGCCCCAGTCAGGCCCTGGCCCCAGGTGTCCCCTTCCTCAGCTCTGCGCTCATGGCCGGCGGGCCGGGAGGAGAGCGTAGACATCCTTCCTGCCAGCCCTGTGTTGGAGAAGCTCCCTGACTGTAGCCGGCAGTTTCCTGGGGAGGCTGTGGAGGGAGCAGGTTGGAGCTGCTGGATGCTCGAGAAGTTCCATCCTTGTTTTATAGGCGGGCAAGCCGAGGCCCAGGGAGAGCAGCAGCCCAGACCCCAGGGGTCTCTGGCTCTCGTCTCTGGAAACCCTGACGCCCTTGCTTTGGCCCTAGCCAGTCATTACTCTTCCCGGGAGGGGAGCTGGAAGATTCTCCTGTCCTTTCCTGTCCATCCTCCTCTTTCTCTAGTTGCCAAAAAGACAGAGAGGGCAGGCCGCTGAAGGGCAGGAGCTCCTGGGACCACCTCCCAACCTGGCAGGCTGCCCCGGAGCGGGAGCTGGGCTCCTCCAGACTGCCCTCTGCCTCGGTTTCCCTAAGGAGTGCTGCTCTAGCTTAGCTCCTGCGCCTGGGAAGGTTCAGAAGTGTGGAAATGGCTCCTAGAGTCTCTTTGTCAATAGGTGGGCTTGGTTGGGGGGAGGGGGCCACCTGGTAGCAGCCACAGGCACTTGTGGGAGCGAGGATTTATTTTAGCTGCTGGGGGAGGAGGTGTGATCTCTTGATGAGAGGGGCCTGTCAGAGCCGCCTCCATAAAGTTCCCAACCAACCCCCTGTGCTGTCTGGTCCCACTCTGCTGGGCAGGGGGACCCCGAGAGCCCCAGGGGCACAGCCCTTTCCGAACATGCTGTGCCTCCCAGCCTTTCTCAGCCTTCTGTCCCGTCCCCACTGCACACAGGAGCAAACAGACCCAGAGGGCACGTCCCTCAGCCAGCCACTGTCTGTGCTGGGCACGGAACCTGGGTCCCTCCCCAGCGGGCTAGCTGGGCCCAGCCTCCTGGGTCCTCCAGCTTCACCGTCCCTCGACCGCCACCTGCCCCTGTCCTCGGTTCTGACCCTGACATAAGAGAGATCAAGGTGAAGGCCAGTGCCGAGCCTGCTCACGCCTCCTCCTGTGGGGTGCTGTAGACCTGAAGGGGTGTGGCCAAGCCTGATAACCCCAGTCTGAGGGGGCCGGTCCCACCCTCCGTATCCTGGCCTTGGCCGTGGAGAGGGGCTTGTCCTTGCCAGCAGAGTGGGCGGCCCCTGGCGACTCGAAGCGTGTAAGGCGGACAGTAATGAGCAGGGCCGGCACACTGGGAAGTCAGAGGTGTAATTACTCCGCCCCGTGATGGGGGTGGCTTTTGTCCGCCTGCTCCTGGGGTGGCGGGGTGGGGCCTAGGGCAGGCCCCGAGCCAAGTGACATGACTGGCCTCTCAGGCTGGTCGGGCCCAGCTCTGGGCCTGGAGGGGCAGAGAATCGAGGTTTGATGTCGAGAATGACAAGGGGTCAGCTGAGCTTGCAGGGCTGCGTGCAGCCAGCATCTCTCAGGCCTGCTTGAGGCGCTATGGGACAGCCCTGTGTCTGAGCCAGACTGCCTTTTCGGAGGCAGGTGTGGGTGGCGCCCAGGCCTCCCACTCCCCACCCCCCACCCGGAAAAGGAGCTTGGGAACTTTGGGCCCCATCCTAATTAAAACCATCGGGACTGGAAAGTAGAGAAGGCTGGTTTCCAGGCGGCCTGTCCCAGGCAAGGTCTGTGAGTTGGGGGCCGCTGGCCAGGGGGCCAAGCCTTTCCAGCGGCCCTCTAGGGTAAGGGGTGTGCCAGGAGGACCGCGGTCCTGTGGGGAAGGGGCAGGCAGCTGGGCAGGGGAAGGAGTCCTTGGCCTAGAGGTAGAGACTTGGCCCTGTCACCATCTTGACAAGCAAGGCCTCTTTCCTTATGCTGGGGCCCCAGGGGTCCTCCACGTCTCACTGTGGCTGGGAGCTGAGGACGCAGCCAGACCTTGTCCCTGCTAAGAGGACAGAGGGCAGTGGTCGGGGCCGCGGAGCTGAGCCTGTGAGCCTGCTGTATATGGACGCTGGGCAGTTCGCGGTCCCGGGTCCAGTGGGTCCCAGTGGGCCTACCACAGGTCCGCTCACGTGTACACACCCCTGCGCAGGCCAAGGACAGCGATGACGATGATGATGTCACTGTCACCGTGGACCGGGATGGCTTCATGGATGAGTTCTTTGAACAGGTGGGAGCCAGCACACCCCGCGTCCGCGAATACACTGGCAGACCTTGGAGGCGGGGGGCCCACGTCACACCCCCACCCGAAGCCTGGTCCAGCCTCTCTCTCAGCCCGGCCGCCAGCCCCAGTCTGGTCCAGCCCCAGTGCCCACGAGCGCCCTCCCTGGGTCTCCTCCTGACCGGAGGCCTTGGTGTGCAGGTGGAGGAGATCCGCGGCTTCATTGACAAGATCTCAGAGAACGTGGAAGAGGTGAAACGGAAGCACAGCGCCATCCTGGCCTCCCCCAACCCTGATGAGAGTGAGTGTGGAGGACTGAGGGGCGGCTTCCAGGCCTCCTGGAAGGCGCTGCTGCTGGGGAGGGGCTCCTGGATCCCCAGCAGCCTCACTGTTGGGCGGCTGAGGGGTACCTGGGCCTGGCCAGGGTGGGGAGGGCCCCGTGGAAAGCTTCAGGGAACACGGCTGGCCCAGGCCTGGGGTGGGGGGGCCTCCGGCCAGCCCCGCCCCCTCCAGGTAAGCTGGGTGGGAAGGCGCAAAAGGAAGCCTGTCTGCCCAGCCCCTCCCTTTCCCGAGCCTCCCCGGGCAGCAGATGGCTCAGCGCCGTGGGAGGGCAAGCCGGCCAAGCAGGAGGAGCTTCCGGAAAGAGCTAGCAGCCCCGGCACCTGCCCGCCGGTACCCCGGAGCCGGGCCTTCTCAGGGCTCCAGAAAGTCACCTTTCTCCCTATGCACAGGGAGCCTGTGTGTGTCTGCATTCCACTCTGACCCCAGACAGGCCCCCCTGACCCTCCTGTCACAGCTCCTGGCGAGCTGTTGATGACTGCCCTGCCCTGTGCCAGACAGACTGCACGCAGGCCCGAGATTCCTTCCCCTTGGCCCCCGGTGAGGCAGTGACAGCGCTGGGCCCAGCGCTGGGACCTGGGCACGCGCACACTGCTCCTGCTGGCTCGCCTCAAGCACGAGCCCCGGGGGCCCCAAGAATGCAAGGCGAAGGGTTCTGGTGCTGCGCAGGCTGGGTGAAGCACTCAGGGCTGGGTTTGCGTGTGGCCTGCAGCTGTGTCTCCCTGTCCCTGGCCCCTCGGCCCCTGGTCCGCCGGCATCCTCAAGCCCCCGGGAGAAATCTCTCCACAGCCCCCAAAGGGCGCTGGAACCCGAGGCCAGGGCCAAGCCGAGCGGGCCCAGTGCCGGGCCCTTGGAAAGCAAAATGAGTCCGCCGGGAGCCTGTGCCAGGAATGGGTGGGAAGGAGAGAAGGGCCACCCAAGGCAGGGCCCACGTTCAGTGTGGCCACCATACATCACCCCTCTCCCCAGCGATTTGTCTCGGGTAGCAGCATGTGACGTCATACGTCTTCCGGCGCATGTGCGTCTGAGTCTGCGTGTGTCCCCATGGGTCCCTCCTGCTGAGGGTCAGAGGGGGCCAGCTGTGGGAAAGGGTACTTTAAGAGCTGGGGCACTCCCCTGCTGGCAGACGGGGCGAGCGTGGGGCGACGGAGACGCCAGTTCCTTTATCTCGGCTCCCTTGCCCCACCTTTTGCACCAGGTCTCCCCGCGTCGTAGAGTCAGTAGCGACCCGTTCAGAATTGCCAGCTCGAGCCAAGCAGTCAGGATGGCCCGGCTGTCACTGATGGCGGGGAGGGGGCTCCCCGGTGAGGGTTCTAGAGCGGAGGGAGCAGTTACCGAGGAGGCACCGGGAAGGACAGCGGCGAGTTGGTGGGGGGGGAGGCGCTTTCCTGGGCCAAGGGCTGCCCTGCCTCCCCTGGGGGCCGCCATCCGGGCTGGGCTATTTTGGGTCTGAGCAAGAGAGGCAGAGACGGCAAAGCAGCTGGTAACCAAGTTTCCTTTGTTTGTACGAATGAGGCACCCTCCTCCGCTCCTCAAAGCCCCCACCTCACGATCCACTTAGTAGGTGCCCCCCCAATCAACTGCTGTAAATGCCCCCCTCCCAACCCCTTCTAGGAGAGACCCAGCCCCAGAGGAAAGCCGACTGTGGATAGGAAGGGCTCAGCCAGGAGCTCTGTCCTGGTTTCTCCAGGAAATAGAGTCCTGGGGTTGCCCTGAGGCTGGGGCGCTGTCATGAGCCATTGCTCCAGCCAGCACCCCAGAGGGAAGCAGCCACCCTGCCCGACTCGGCCAGCCACCCCCCCCACTGGGGGTGGGGCAAGCTGGGTACCCCCATGGCGGCCTCTGCCAGCTTTAGAGAGATGGTTCCAGTTGGAACAAGGGCCAGATTCCCCCCACTTCACCATCACAGGACCAGCCAGCTGGTGCTCCAGGGCCAACTGTGTGCCAGGGAGCGCACCTGTCTGAGCCTCTACTCCATCAGCTCCCATCCAGGCCAGGTGCCTCATGCCCCCATCCACCCACTGGGCACTCAGCGGTTGGCCCCCCCTCAGCTCAGCACCTGGGAAGCAGAGCTCAGTAGAACAGGGTCTCCCCCACCCAAGGTGCTCAGTGGAGGGGGGCTCGCTTCAGCCTCCCTGGCCCCAGCTGTCACCCTATTGGCTGGATGTCTGCCCCCCCCCCCCCCCCAGCTACCAGGTAACTCTAGGTGAGCCCGCACCCCCACCTTCGACTCAGGAAGCATCAAGTCAGTGTTCCCCAGTGCCGACTCCAGCATCACTAGCTGCTCCACAATTATTTCTGCCTTAAATTTAGACCCATCTGTTAACGTGCAGGGGGTGGGAGAGCCAGCGAAGGAGGAAGGGAGGCTCCTTGGAAGGCAGCACAAGAGGGGGTGAGGCTGCAGCTGGTGTGGCCCCGGCCCAGGGTTGGAGGGGCAGGCAGAGCCTCAGCCAGCGGAATCGGGGAGACCCGGGACCCAGGCTCTGCCCGGAGCCCTGCGACCGGGCCCCCTGCGCCAGGGGCTAAGCCTGAATGTCAGGCAGTGGGGAAACCCTGGGCATCTACGCTCTCCCCCTTCTACCTCCCCAGAGACGAAGGAAGAGCTGGAGGAGCTCATGTCTGACATAAAGAAGACCGCAAACAAAGTTCGCTCCAAGTTAAAGAGTGAGTCTGGGCTCCATCCAGGCCTTGTCTTGGGGGCCGGGGCGGGGGGGCGCGCTCTGGGCCCGCTTCCTCTGTGTTCCGCGGGTCTCATGAACTTGGAGGGGTACACTGGGTCTTGCTTTCCTTTATGAGGGTGCCATCACATGCCCATTGTCTCAGCTGCTACTTAGCAAGGCTTGTTTGGGCCAGGCTTGAGGCCGGGCCTCGGGACAGATGCTTGAGGCTTCAGTGAGGGAGTGCTCCGCTCTGGGAGTTGTCCCGCACTTCAGCTAAAGAGGGCTCAAGGGGTGGCCGGCACCGCCCGGTCCCACACACAAGCCCCATGCGCTTGTGGGAGCGCAGAGGCGCATAGGCCCAGGGGCCGCCGCTGGCGGCCCTCCCCGCTCTGGCCATGGCCCTTGTTGGGCGCACAGGCTTCCTGAGCAGAAGGCCGGGTGGGCCCGAGCCGCTGGGCCTAGTACACAGTAGGCACTCACACACACAGAGTTTGGTGTGTGCCCGAGGCCTCGCAGATGGGTGTGCATATGTGCACCCCCCGAAACCCGCATCGTGCCCAGATGGGCCCCTGGCGGCCCCTCCCGCAGTGCCTGGCGCGCCCTCCTCCTCTGCTTCCTGTGTGCCGCGCCCCCCCCCCGCCATCGTCCACACTAGACCCTCCCCGGGAGAGGTCCGGAGCCAGATCCTGGGTGTGTGGGTCCAAGAGGGAGGGGACAGGTTATGGCTCAGGAGCCCCCCTCTCCCACAGGCATCGAGCAGAGCATCGAGCAGGAGGAAGGCCTCAACCGCTCATCCGCGGACCTGAGGATCCGAAAGACACAGGTGCCGCCGGCGGGCCTCCGGGGTGGGCTGGCGGGCGCTCGGGGCCCTGGGGCTCTGTGGAGCTGGGCCTGACACTTGCACCCCCATCTTGCACCCCCAGCACTCCACGCTGTCCCGCAAGTTTGTGGAGGTCATGTCCGAGTACAATGCCACACAGTCTGACTACCGTGAGCGCTGCAAGGGCCGCATCCAGAGGCAACTGGAGATCAGTAAGCTTGGGGGGGGGGGGGGGGGGAGAGTGAGGGGCGGGGCCGGGGCAGGGCTCAGTGCAACCCCTGCTCACAGCTGGCCGGACCACGACCAGTGAGGAGCTGGAGGACATGCTGGAGAGTGGAAACCCCGCCATCTTTGCTTCTGGGGTGAGTGTGAACCACCCCACCCCACCCCACCCTCACCCCTGGCACGGACCCCTGGTGTATGTGGCCAAGTGCTGGGGCTGGGGGCAGTCTTTGGATACAACCATCTTGCGAGGCTGGTTTCAGAGAAGGCTGAGTCCCAGAGGAAAAGGGACTGAGGCCACTTAAATACTAGCGGCCCAGGTAGAATTAAGACCCCCGTCTCCTGGTTCCTCTCAATTGGGTCCACTTCCTTGCTTCTCCTGTCCATTTGCCACCGGCCAGGGGCTCCTTCCGCCATCCTCAGGGCCTTGTTCCTCTCCTGGGAGACATGGTGCCATTGGCCGCCTCTACATTCAGGTGACGCTTGAGCAGGGGGGCTTCCTGAAGGAGGCGGCCCACAGGGTGGAAGGCAGGTAGGGGCTGTGGGTTCCAGGAGAGAAGGGAAGGGGTAGTTACCCTCTCCGGGAGACTGACAGGAGGGGCAGGGGGAAAGGGAGAAAGGCGGTTCAAGGCCTGGGTCCTTGAGGGTTAGTCAACCCCGAGAAGTCCGTCTCCGAGAAAGCAGGTAACAGCTAGTAAGAACCAGGCAGGAAGTGGGGCAGCGCTGTGGCTGAGGAGGGAGCCACCACCCATCCCAGCTGCCTTTGCCCTTGGCCGGCCCTCCCTGCCCCCTGCGGCAGGCTCCAGGGTCCCAGCGCACTGCTCCCGCTCCCTAGATCATCATGGACTCCAGTATCTCCAAGCAGGCCCTGAGTGAAATTGAGACGCGGCACAGTGAGATCATCAAGCTGGAGAACAGCATCCGTGAGCTGCACGACATGTTCATGGACATGGCCATGCTCGTGGAGAGCCAGGTGAGAGCCTAGGGCCCCACTGCCCTCCGCCCACCCAGCCCGCAGCAGCACCCAGGGCTGCACTAACCCCTCCCCTTTTTGCCTGACATGCTGCCCTGCCCGGGAGGGACCAAGTCTCCAGGTAACTAACTGCCCGCTGTCAACACCGCCTCCAGGGCCAGGCCCACCTGGAGGACCCCATCCTCTGCATGGCTCTGCTCCCGGGCTCCAGGTGCTGCATGGCTCGGCTTGGCCCATCAGGACCCCCCAGGCCCTGCATGGCCCTCCACCCAGCCTTGGCCTGTCTTATTCACCAGCCGTCTGTCACGGGGGCACTGTGGACGGCCGCTCTTCTAGGAGCTGGAAGTGTGGTAGTGACCAGGACAGCGGAGGGCCTGCTTCCTGGAGCTCATGTCTGTGGGGTGGAAGGGCAGCATAAGGAAATGACAAATGGAACGTTCTCCAGTTGTGCCGGGTGCTCAGGAGACGTTAGCAGGAGGCAGTGAGATAGAGCAGTGGTTCTCCAGCTCTAAAAGGCCCAGGAATCACGGGGCGGGGGGCGGGGGGGCTTGGAGGTTTCCTGGTCCCCGGTCCCAGAGATGGGTAGGTTGGAGTGGGGGCCCGTGAATTTGTATTTCTAACAGGTTCGAGGGGGACGCTGATGCTGCTAGTCCCAGGGCCACACTCGGGGTAACACCGTAATAGCGTCCCTGCAGTGGCCACCTTGGACGGGGGTGGTCAGGGAAGGCCTCTCTAGGAGGTGGCATTTGAGCTCGGAAAGCTTTCCAGGGTCCCAGGGTGAGTGAAGAGCAGGAGCAGCAGAGCCTGGTCCTGAGACTGGCAAGAGCCCGGCTCACTGAGGAGGTCCTGCGACTGGAGCTTGGCGGGGCGGCGGTGCGGGGGGGGTAGTGAAGATGAGGCAGGCGGTGGTGCTGGGCTTCTGGATTCTCTCCTAGACCAGAGGGTCTGAAGTGTGGGTGTGGTGTGAGCCGAGTTAGGAAGCCGGGTGGCCACGAGGAGGCTGCTGCCGCCATGGCTGAGAGACTGCGGCCATCTGGACACCAGCGGGAGCAGCGAACTTGGAGAGAGTAGTCATTTGTCACCACGGGTCTCGGGCAGTGTCACGGTGGGAGCGGCCTCTGGGGGCTGCTGGGGCCACAGTATGGGGCCCAGGAGAGCTACGGGAGCAGGCAGGGGGTCTTAGTGTTGAAGACCGAAGACAGTCGGAGCTGGGTGGAACCACCACGCCAGCGAGGAAGGAGTGGGACCCTGTCCAGAGCACCCTGTGCTGCCCCTGCCTCCCTCTGCCTCGCACCCGGCCCGGCTGAGCACCCCCTGCATGGTCTCCACCCCCTCGGCTGAGACTGCACGGCCAGGTCCCCTCCCAGGATGGCTGCTCTGCAGGGGGGAGAGGGTGCTTCCCTGGGGGCCTGGCCTGAGGGGGCACAGGGAGAGGCTGGACCCCCCCCCATCCTCACGCCCCCACTTTTCTTTCTCTGCCCTCAGGGTGCTTCCCCAGAGTCCTGCCCTGAGGGGGGCCCACTGGAGCTGATGGGCACCGGCCCTGCAGGGGGAGATGATTGACAGGATTGAGTACAACGTGGAACATTCGGTGGACTATGTGGAGAGGGCCGTGTCTGACACCAAGAAGGCTGTCAAGTACCAGAGCAAGGCACGCCGGGTCAGTAGCCCCCCTCTGCCCATTAGAGCCCCCGGGGACCATCACAGATCCCTCCCCACTCGGCCTTGACCCCATCTCTGGGCTCTGACCCAAGCCCTCACCCCGAGGCCTTCAGCTCCCAGCTGTCACCGCCCCCCCGCCTCAGGTACATTCCAGGCAGCACCTTCCCCGTTCTAACTCTGGTACCATCCCCCAGACCCCCAACCCCCAGCCCGGCTCAGGGACCATTCTCCTTGCGTGCCCTGCCCCTCCAAGCTCTGACCCAGCCCTCAGCCTCCCTCCCGGGTCTGAGGCCGCTCCTTCCTGCCTCCCCGGTGCAGAAGAAGATCATGATCATCATCTGCTGCGTGGTCCTGGGCATTGTCATCGCCTCCACGTTTGGAGGCATCTTCGGCTAGAAAGCACCCCACCCGCCACCCCACTCGGGACGGTCTGCCCTCAGGAGGCCCCCTGGCTGCTGCCGCCTTTTGGCTCGGAGCCCCTTCCTTCCCACCCCATACCGCCCCTTTCTCTGCCGTAGGGCCCTCCCTACCCACCGTGCCCTGAGCCGTCGTGTGCATGATCTCTGTGACAGTGTGTGTCTGTACCGGGGAGCCAGCGGGGTGGGGCAGGTCCGCAGCAAGGGACAGACTCAGGCCCTGGCCCAGGCCGCCTCACCCCCTCACCCTCCCCAGGGAGCACTGCCTGGGGTAGCCATGCTCCCCTTCCCCCCCCACCCCCTTAATTCCACTCCAGCCTGGGGTCTGCCCTGACCTCTGGCCTCTCCAGCTGTGCCCCAAAGCCACGCCCCCTAAGGGGTGGGGACCAGCTGGCCACATGGTGCTGCTTTTCAGGTTAAGGAAGGGGTGGCCCTGAGAGACAGCCCAGCTCTAAGCCTCTAACAGCTGATCACTGCCAGGGAGGCTCAGGGTGCCGTGGCCAGGTGGCTTCTGGCTTTGTCAAGACCAGGCTCCCTCCCCGCGTAGGGGCAGAGTCCAGCAGGTCTTGGCTGCCTCATATCCCCTTCCCACATTCCTGCAGCCCCAGGAGCAACCCCTCTGGGCTATGCCTGACCCCAGGTAACATTCTACGAGAGGCTGTCTGGTGCCTGGTTTCCAGCCACCCTTCAAGCTAGGGAGGCAGACCGGCCTTGGCGGGCCTCTGCCATAGCTGAAGCCCACACCCTGGGCCAGCCACCCTCCCCGGCGGGCCTCAGTCAGGTTCTCAAGCCATCATGTATTGCATGTTTGGGACAATGGTCCCTGCTCTTCTGTGCTCTGGGAAGTCAGACATCACTTCAGGCCTGCAATCACGTCCTGCCCTTGCTGTCCCCCACTGACGTGCCACGTGGGTGTCTGGTGTCTGGGATGCAGTATTCAGCAGCCAGCCAGGGAGGAGTGCCTCCCTCCTCCCCATCTCGGGGCTTCTCAAGTCAGAAACATGCCCCCACCCGAGACCCCTCTTCCTCATCGATAGGCTAGGAGTGTGCATGCGAGTGCATGCAGTAGGGGGTGGGGCCACGTCTGTGCCCCACCTTCCCTCAGCTCTGCTCCTGCCCAGTGACTGTGACCACTGTCCGTGTTGCCTTCTTCAACAGCGACTTCCCTCCCCTCCTTCACCCCTTCACCAAAGGTCTTGGTACAACCAGCTGCCCATTTTGTGAGATTTTTATGTAGAATAAACAAACATTTGTATCTGGATTTCTTACGGTCACAGTGTCACAGCCTTAGAACTTGGGGGTCAGTGTGCATAGCATGAACAGGAAGGAGGGACTCTTCCCTCAGCCTCCAGCCTCTCCGCCGCAGCCGGAACGTCTCCACTCCTGCTTGAAGCCTGATGCCCATTCTGTACTGTGGGCCCATAGCTACCCCCTCTCCTCCTGCTTTTGCAGGAGTCATAAGCAACCCCCAAATCCCCTCCACACCCCAGGGCAGGACTTAACCTGCCCTTCTGACCGCTAGAAATCAGACAAGAGACACGTCCCCAAAGACAGGCAACCAAGTGCTGGGCTGATCAGCAAGTGGTGCAGCTCATGGCCAAAGGTCAGCCCAGGCCACAGGCTGGGTGACACCTTTAGCGGGAGGGCAACCGGAGGAGGCTGGGTGATGGTCTCGGGTCAGTGGGTCCCACAGATAGTTTCATCCTGCCCATCCTTCTCAAGTCAGCCTCGTGCTGGAATAGATAAGCAGCCTGAAATCAAACCTGTGTTCCTTGTATGTTAAAAGGGTACTTTTCACACATTTGAGTTCTGCGAGCCTCATCTGGACCTGGGGAATCAGGCAGTGGCCCCCACCAGTAGAGAAACCCAAGAAATGTGTTCAGGATCAGAGCTGAAAAATGCCAGAGCCCCAGTTCCACAAAAAGTGGTTTATTGCTTTTAGAACAAGAACTTGTATTAGTGAAGAGAAATGGTTAGAACTTGAGAACTTTTCTGAAACAGTATCTTGTCAGCTAATGGAAGGAGGCACTTCAACACAGAGAACCCCGGCAGGGGACAAGGTGGGTGACGTGGGTGACGAGGCGCGGCGCTGGGCCTCCCAACATGTCCGGCTCGCCGCTCAGAAGCGGGGCCTGCGCTTGCGGCCGGTGTACCGGGTGTCCGGTCTGACCGCCCTGTGGCCAAGAAGTCACGGGCCCGTCTCAGAGGAAAGAACAGAGGACCCCCCGGGACCCCTCCAACCGCAGGGGAGCCCTGCGCAGCCCCAGAGCCCGCCCTCCCCAGCAGCCCGGCCCCAGCACTCACTCGCCCTGCCGCCTGTAGCGCGCCTTCTTCGCTAGCACCCACTCGCGACTCTTCCTCATGATTCTGCGCTTCGCCATCCCGTACAGGATCCTGCGCGGGAGACGCCGCTCTGAAGGCCGCTCTGAGGGCGTGGAGGGCGCGGCCCGGCCGGCAGCCCGGCTCACCCGCGCGGGGCCGCAACAGCGATCCTCCCATGCCCCCGCGGCCACCGAAGTGTCCCCGCCTTTAGACACCCTCTCCTCCCCTCCCCTCAGTGATTCCCCCTCCCACACCCCTCCCCCCGGGCCAAAGCTGTTGCGTAGGAGGAGAGCAGGAGGGGAGAGGTCCCCTACTCGCCCCCCACATGCACCGTTTCGGTGTCTTTGTTAGGTGCTGCCCGTGGGGCAGGCAGGGAGAGCCACGCTACTTTTGGGGCAACACAGGCAGGATGAGCTCATGAGAGCTTGGCACCATCCGGGGAGAGCTGGAGGCCCCGTGCCCAGTGCTGCCACGTTAGCCCCTCATCTGACTGACTGTGAGGCTGGCAGGCCTGGGACAGACCACGTGGGGGCTCCCAGCAACTCCACATGTCTGAGGCAGGAAAACAAGGCTGCCAGCTCATGGCAGCCCCGACAACGATCCTCAAGGGCTGATCTTGGCCTCCGGCCCTGGCTGAGGAGAGGGACCCCCTCACACAGCCCCGTGGGAGAGAGGCCCTGAGAACAGGGAAAGCCTCGGCCCCCGCATACCACATCCCCACCTGGCAGCTGGGATCAAACAGCTTCCAGCATAATTCCGGCCACGGAGGGCTGCTCACCATTTGAGTAACAGCCATTTCCTGAGCACCTGAGTGCACGACCCAGGGATGTCCTACGGTAGATAGCAACCAGACTTGCCCCTGAAGAGCCCGCGACCGGGCCATGGCAGGGACCAGCCACACCAGGCAAAGCAAGTGCACAGAGGCCCAGCAGCTGCTTAGCGACTGACAGAAAGGAAAAGCAGAGTCTGGGAAAAACTAGAGGGCTGCTGAGACAAGCGGGTAATTCTGCAGGCAGAAGGTGAGGCAGCACCAAGACCAGAGCACCACAGGGCGGAGGCACTGAAAGGACCAAGCATAAGGTTTGGGGACAGAAGAGTCCTGTGTGCCTGGGACGAGAAGAGCAGTGAGATCCTGAGGGTTGGAAGCACACGTTCCCTCCTTGCCTGAGGGCCAGTCCATCACAGACCCTGGCTGCTACTACTCACCTGTTCTGACGTAGTAACAAAAGTCAGAATTGTTCAAAACAAAAAAACTCAGGGGCGCCTGGATGGCTCAGTCAGTTGAACACCTAACTCCATTTTGGCTCAGGTCATGATCTTAGGGTCCTGACACTGAGCCCCACTTCAGGCTCCACACTCAGTGTAGAGTCTGCTAGGGATTCTCTCCCTCTCTCTCTCTGCACCTCCCCCCCACTCTAAATAAATAATACTATTTTTTAAAAAAAGGAATTTCAGAATCTCACTTGGCTTACAGGCAAGGAGTGAGCATGCTGTTCCTTCAGTAAGCAGGGAGCAGTCAGAGACAGTGACATGTGATCTAGACCCTTCGGCGTGTACAGACAGGGTTGCACGAAAGAAATGGAGAATGCCCACGACCAGAGGGGCAGGAGTCTGAGGCACCAAGTGCAAAACAGGAGGGAGCTGCCACCTGGGGACTGGAAGTGCAGGACCGATCAGCAGGAAGGACGAACTGGGGTGCCAGCTGTGAGCCACAGAAGGAATGATGGGGGAGAGCCATCAGGGCAGATGAAGGGAGCAGGGGGAGGCAGTTGAGTGCCCCAGACCAGAGGTGCCAAGAGGGAAGTTGGTCGGAAGCTGCAAACGCCACAGGTGGACGGAGTCCTCAGAGAGACAGAATGATTAGAAATGACAAGAACAAGAGAAGCCCTGATTATCCTTCCAACGGACAACAGCCTTCTGCCCCCTGCCCTCAGCTGAGGGCCCGCAGAACTGGGCAGACAGGCCCGGGCCGGACACTGCCGAGCCCAAGCCCAGACGTGCTCTATTCCTCAACATGCTGCCCGAGTGCGGGCTTTACCCCCTCAAGTAGATGAGAAACGGCTGCTTACCGAAGTTTACAGCTAGCGTGTGTCGTCTGTAGACAACCAGTGTGAGCACAAGAGGGACTGTACTGTGGGTGGAGGGGGCTGAACCACGTGCGGATCCTCTGTGGGGTGGGAGAGGGCGCCACTCGCTGGGAGCAAGTGGTGGGCACCTTAGAGGAGAACACATCTCGAAGAGCCCCCCCCCAAATCCCCATGGAGAATGGGCTGAGGAACTAAGGCAGATGACCACAGAGGGTGGGGGTGGTTTCAGGGGGCTCCAATCTGTGATGGACATCAGGACCACGCTCGTTATCTTCACCACTTGTGGCCTTCCAAACTCATTCACGCTCTGCCCGTTTTCCCTCTTCAATGTCTTAAAAACCTTGGGGCTTTTGCACTCCCATCAACCAGAATGAAGAAGTAACCTCTGCTGCCTTACCATCAATTTTCCAGTCAGCGAACACTGGATACCGTTCACCGACAGGACCCTACCCTGACATCAGGGATACGTCAGTGGTCCCCAAGTTCTCCTTCCGGCCGGGGAGACACCGGACCACCCAGGAACCACATGTGCGGGTTTCAGAGCGGTGGAAGGTGGAGGGAAACAAGGGTAAGGAGAACTCAACCAAGGACACTGGAAGAGAAAAGTGGCAAGACAGAACCTCCCTCTTTAAGAAATTAAGGGAAAAGGAAAAGGACTCGTCCTGCTGCCACGTGGAAGAGAAATTCAAAGGGTCAAAGACCCAGAGCGGAGGGAGGCCAGCCCAGCAGTGTCTGCATCAGGCAAGGGGAGCGGTGGGGGCTCAGGCTGGGCAGGGGAGGGGGCTGCCGCGTGGACAGACACAGGCAGCAGAATGTGAAGGACTGGCTGAAGGGGAGATCAGAAAGACAGGAAGCAGGAGGGGAAAGAGCGGAGGAAGGGAGTCTCGGGGTGAACAGCAAGAGCTTGGCTTGATCCCAAACACCTGCGGGAAGTCTGGTACGGATTTCTACGGGGGTTCGGAAGCTGGAGGTAGGGTTGAGGCCACGGGCATAAATCCGGAGCAGTGCACCTAGGGTTGGTGGCTAAGGCGGCAGAGGGAGAAGGGGTCCAGGCTGGGCCCCAGGGTGCTCGGAGAAGGAACAGCCAGCGAGGCAAGGAGCAAACCGGGACGGTGGGTGGGAGGCCAGGCAAGGAAAGCACCGAGGGAGCAATCGGCCACTTTGGCGCCGACGGAGCAGGCAGGTTAAAGAGGACAGCAGAGGAAGACTGAGAAGTGGCCACATTTGGCAGGATCGAGGCTGCTGTGGCCTTGGCAAGAGTGACCAGTGAGGGGACGGAAGCAGGAGCAGGGGTAAGAGAATGGGGCGGCAGAGCAAGAGGCAGGTGTGGATCTGATCCAGAGGGATCCGGGCGCAGGGCTGGCTAGCTGGCGTCGGGGGCCACTGGAGAGGACGGGAGAGGCCGTGCAGCGCGTCTGCGAGCGGAAGGGAAGGTGCCCGGAGAGGACAAGAGCGTGCAGCAGGGGAGTGGACGGGGAGACGGAGAGGGTGCGGGGGTCCAGGACACAGGTGGGGAGGGAAGGCAGATGGCTGCATGGCTGTCCGGACACATCCAGAAGGGCCCCAGCTGCCCAGCCTGAGGCAGGGACAGGCCCCAAGGGCTCCCGCTGTCACCACCGTGGGGCTACTGCCACACCTGGACCTGAGAGACCTCGTGAAAGCGGAGAGCCACCCTGTGTGCCAGCCCTGGCAGCAGCGAGCCCCCAAACCCGAGGCAGCCCGAGCAACAGCTCTACCTCTCGCTCGTGAACTCGGACTCCTGGACCTCCTCGTCGTCTTTACTCTCGTTCAGGGCCTGCGGGGACCAGAGTGCTCTTAGATCGTCCCGGCGGTCTCCCCAGCCGCCTGCCCCACCCCAGGAGGCCAGGCCACCTAGGCCTGAGCCCTTCCAACAGGTACTAGGCTCAGCCCCACAAGCAGGGAATCCAAAGGCCACGAGCCTGCAAACTCTGGGATCCTTACCCTAGGCAGAAAGGTTGACGGCCCAGAAAACAAGCAGAGGTAGAACCTGAAACCAGAAAGCAGGGTGACGGCTGAGCTCATAAAGCCTTATGGGGGGGGGGGGGGGGGGGGGGGGGAGACGAGTCCTCATGCACACTCCCTCCCACACACAGGTGCAGAACCTTGAGGGCCCCGGGGACCCAGCCCTGCACGCCTCTGGCCGGCTCATCACCCCAACACCCTCTCTGCTCAGTGTGGGCAGCACGCTAGCCCCCGGCACTCACTTCTTGGCCTTGGCGCTGTTGGGGAAGTCCACCACCACGCCACCCGTGAAGCCAGCCTTGGTGGCCTGGGCCGTGATCAGCTCCAACTGAGGAGAGAACGGCAGCAAGTCAGGCAGGGAGGCAGGGAGGCTGGGAGAGCAGACAGCTTCCTCTCCACTCCCTTCCAGAAGCCAGTCTGCCCCCAGGATGCACCCTGCCCAGGGGGAAGTGAAGGTGCTCATCAGACTCTTCCCCATTCTGAGTCCCCAAAAGCCACACAGAGGAAAATGCAAGCTGGAACCAACAATTCCCTCCAATTCTCTTTATAGCCCAGGGACCCATCTCAGGAATGAACGGCCACCAATCAGGAGGCAAATTTGTTACGTGAGGGGCTGGAGACAGCTCCCCACTTCCAGAATCTGTACCTCTATTCCTCATCCCCATGGTTGACACTCCACAGGGTAGACAGCTCTGCTGTTCTCTCAAATCCTCCCCAACTTCTACTCATTTGACTATGGAAACCAGAATTATCCTATTAATTGTAATACCACATGTCTGTCAGTAGAAGACTGAACGTCTTTAGCCTAACCCCCGCAGATACCACTACTCTTCCCTAGGATGACAAGTCACAACACCTGCCATCAGTGGCCACAGGAACCTCGTTCGGAGGCTCGCTCCCTACTTTTCCCACCAGTCAGCAACAAGTTCCTCATTCTGTCACCTCCCAGCAGCGGGAGGGCAGATGAGTGAGGAGCAGGACAGCTTACCTGTTCTGGGTCCCTCCCCCTTCCCTGCACCCCCAGGAGCCTGAGGGGCCCACCTGCTCTGAGTTCTCAGGGTACAGCTGCAGGATGGCACGGGCTCCACGGACCTGCAAGCAACAGAAACATCACTCTCCTACAAATATACGATGCGCTCAGGGCCCAACATTTCTCCATTCCTTGTTCACTCAATATCTGAAACCCCACTAGCTACATGACACTGTTCACAGGGCTTGGGATACAGCTGTGAACAGAGAGAGCCCCAGAACTTTTGGAGCACATGTTTTAGTGAGAAAGACTGCTAACTTACAGTACTGATTTAGTGCCAAGAAGAAAAATATATTAGGACAAAAGAATGGTGAGTGACAAGAAGACCGTTGGCTTTACTTTTGGTTCAAGGAAGGCCTCTCTCTGAGGGACACTTCAACAGAGTCCCAAATGTAATAGGGAAATGGCTAAACATAGGAGAGAAAACCACTTCAGCTGAGAGAAAGGCAAACACAGGCCATCAGAACCTCGGATTAACTCCAGTGCATGTGTGACAGAAACCATATGACGCGCGAGACCAGCCAGCCATATGCAAAAACCACCCATCCTAGGAAAACCACGGATGAGGTGGGGAGATTTAAAGAAGACCAATACCTGGATCCACTCAAAAAAAATAAAAGAGCTCATTTATAGGACTTAAAATCTCAAATCCTCTAATCCTGTAACACAACCGAAATCAACACCATCAGTTATGGAAACAAGATAAAGCTTAGTAAAGGTTCTGTGATAAATAACCACCCTGCTCGCCATCAGAGCGTCAGCAGAAGGGGGGAGAGAGGGGTGGGAGTCAGAGAATGTGGGCACCCTGTGAGCCCTGGACATGATGTCTCTGTCCTCGCTCTGTGGGGTCCATGCCCCCAAACTAACTTCCAATTAAAATTCAGTGCAGTGAGGACACAGGAATTGTGATCGGTCTCATCAACATCTTCTGCACTTCGTTAGGGATGTCAGACCACCGAGCTTTCTCTTTAGACTGAACATCAAGACAGAAGTAACCACAATTAGGTAGGTCCTGCCACCCCCCTCCCTTTTGGGTCCTGCGGCCCCATTTGAATGGCTTTCTCATGGGCCGCTTCCTACTCCGTCACTACCTGCAGGAGAGATAAGCAGCCAGCCCAGACTGGGGGATCTCATACTCACCAGCACAGAGTAGAGAGAAGAAAAGAAGCAGTACAGGCGCTTGGCAGGGATGTCAGACTTCTTGTTTGCGTTACAGAGCCACTGTACAGCAGAAATGCTGAGAAAGGAAGGGACCCGGTCAGGAGAGGGAGCAACACACACTGCTCCCCCCAGCCTCTTTGAGACTTGAACACTATGCACATCCTTGAGCCCCAGGTAAAACCCTCCTGCTCGTAATTCTCTTTCTGGGCACATGCAGACCCACTTCAGCTTACCATCCTACAACTGGACAGAAAAGGGTAAATAGAAAGTCAGCATTAACTTCCTTGCAGCCAATCCAAACAAGTATTTTCTCAACCTTGTTTCTGCATGCGTCTCAGATTTAAAATGACACAGCATGTCAAGGCTCTCTGCCACCTACCCCCCTTCATTCCTTTCCTCTAATCAAGGGAAAACCCCTTTATAGTAAACACAAACCATTCCCTCTCCTCCTCAGATCAGTTCCTTTAACTGTACTTATTCGGTGTCTTCAACCCCAGATTTAAAAACCTCAAGCAGCTATTATATACTCCTGTCAGGTATGTCCCCATTCACTGCTGTGCACACGTATCCACAGAACCCCAAACCCTGATGGCCTGTCCAAATGCCTCTCCCAGCTTTTATTGCTCTCTACCACTTCTCCTGGGTCAGCACTACTCACTGCCTCCATTGCTTCATCTTGCTTTTCTTTTAAATAATCTTCCCAAAATACAGCTCTGATCTTGTCACTCCCTAGCTTCCCGCTGACTACTCAATAAAGCCCGAACTTCTCAGCTCCTTCCCCTGGCTACTTCTGTGCCTTTGTTCCCGCTGTTCCTTCACTCAGAAACCCTCCCGGTGACTGACTATCCAAACTCCTCGGAGCCTTCAAGGCTCAACCCCAGCCCCTCCCCTTCTCTTCAAGGCTTTCCTGTGCTCTCTGGCTTCTCTTCACCCCTGTGGTGGGCCCCATGACTCCCCAGTCACACTCCACACTCAACTTCGTGTTTAGTTGTGTGGCCCGTGTTTACAGCACCTGATACACCATGGAGAGTCTTAAAGCAGGGATTGTGTTGTATTTCCACAAACTCCACAACACCTACTACCACGTCCTACATATAAGGAACGCTCAAATAAATAAATAAAATAATAAGCTTGCCATACTATCTCTCTTAAAAAACAAAAAATTGACGACTTACTCCTAAAATATACAAACCATATCGCTGGCCTTCAGTTTTCTGCAGCTTAGAACATCTCACCCAATCATTACTAAAAAGCAACTGCTATCCTTGAAATGCGGTTTCCCCCTAATCTTGTTCCCAGGTGTAAACTAATCCCTTACCCTAGAAGAAAATCTTCAAATCCAAATTTTACTGCTCACCCAGATCCCCACTGCTCAGGCCGCAATCACAGGAGGAGGTACCCCCCCACCCCAGATAAGGATTAAAGTTACGACTTCCTCCCTATCCCCTACTTCCACCCCAACAACACACTACACCAAACATTCAACAGAACTTTACCACAGAAAACAACTTCACGCTTCAACGGTCATTTCAACGTTCTAAGATCTGTTACCAAAGTACTATGTAAATGCCCAAAAGTTGACCCTGACGACCCAGAATGGGCAGCACCACTGAAGAGACTGGAAAATTCTGGGCCGCTCTCCACTGCAGAGCTATTCAAAAAGGAGCCAACAAGATGGCTGCTGGGGCCAACAAGATGGCTGCTGGCGCCAACAAGATGGCTGCTGGCGCCAACAAGATGGCTGCTGGCACCCACAAAATGGCTCCTGGAGTTGTGAGAAGACCACCCCTTCCCCCTCCCCTCCAGACACAGAATCTATACCAGCAGTACCTGAACCTGGCAACACAAGATAATCAAAGGAGTAGACCGTTTCAAAATAGAAAAAACACATAATTGGGGGCATTGCTCTAACCTGGAGATGTGTATTTTTAAGTATCCTGTGTCACTCTGCTGCACGGCCAGTTTGGGAAGCACTGACCTGCAAAACTAAAAGCAGGAAGCGAAGACTCTTCTCACCTGATACAACCATCAAAGGAGCCTGGTTTGAAGGGGATGCCCTGGCCCATGTCCCCCAGAAGCAGGTCTCCCTCAGTGTCCCGGTCCAAGGCCGCATCTACATTGGAGAAGAGTACATCAGGGAAAGAAACGACCCATACTGTTCCACACTCAGAAAGAGTAGTCTGCTCCCATGCTAAGTAGAACATACATACCCAGCATGGCGGGGCTGATGTCGATGCCCACCCAATAGTGCCCTTCATCCGAGAGATAATCTCCACTCAGCCCAGAACCACAGCTGGAAGACACCAACAGGAACTCAACAGTGTGAGCAGTAAAGACACTCCACCACCACCTGGACAACCTGAACTGGGCCCCAGGATCTCACCCAATATCCAAAAGGTAACAGGGCTGACCCTCAGGCAGACAGAGAAGCTCCAAAGCTCGCCCAGCCATCTTGGTCTGGACGTCAATCATCCGTGAGCTGGGAAGGCAGAAAACACAAGCAAGTGATAAAAGAATTCTGAGCTAAAACATCACCCAGAGCAAAAAAGAAAAAAAAAAAAAAAAGAAAAGGAACAATCACCCTGAGGTACTCTCCTAGTCACCATACTCAACTACTTAAAAGTGACCCCAAAAATCCATGTAATACAGCAACAAGTTACTTTGGGACACAAATTATAACTCTACCAGTTGCAATTCTAACGCGAAGAGAACAAACCACTTACCTAAATGACTAATCATTGGGGATTTTCAACTCAGTAAGGCTCTGATGTTGTTATTACTTAAAAACACATTTTCTGGAAGAATTACCCACCATAGTTACTCTCGTGTATAAAGCTCAACAACGCACAACAAAATCCATAGCAGTATTGTCCGTAAGAAATATAACGCAAGCCACGTAAGACTTTCTTAGTACCACGACTAAAATGAAACATAAAATTAACTGTAATAGTTTACTCAACCCAATATACCTGGGAACATATCTTACTTAACCCAATATGCTCTAAATATCATTTCAACACATCACCAACATAAAAAAGCTTAAGAAAATGTTAACATTTTCTTCATATAAGGAAATCAAACTATTATTTATTATCTATTATTCTTTCAATCGATGACTACAGCTAATAAAAAGAGGTCTATAGTAGATCTATCCCAGGACCAAGAGAAAGAATCCCACAGAGCTCTGCAGCTGGCGAGAAGTTTATATTGCTACATAATGACAATTGGACCAGAGATTTCTGCTGACTTTCTTGGTCTTGGACTCTAATTTGAATGGAAAGAAAGAGAACAGTTATCTCTAGACTAGTGTATCAGAAAGAGAAGGTTTGGAAGTCCCTGTTCTGGCCTTCGACTGTTGAGTAGCTTTATAGTTACACAACCATCCTCCGAAATGCGGATCCTACACCAGCAGTTCTCATGAGAACTTAAAACATACAGCATTCCGCGAACACGCTTTCCTTCCCCTCAACAGTACCGACCCCTTACACGGATCCACGGCCCCCTGCCGATTTTACCACAGGTTTCAAACAAGTTGTCATTTAAAACTTCGAAAACCACCTGGAGACAATAGGTATGATCCACCCCCATTTTAACGCTAGTTTATGGAGGCCCGGAGGGTTCCGAGGTTTACTCATCGCTGACTTTCCCACTCTAAGAACCGGAATCAGTCCTCGTCCCTTCCTTTCCCCACCCGCGCCCCCCCCCCCAAATTCCGCGTGCTTTCCCAGCAATGCCCGCTGTTGGGTCAACCTGCCGGTTCCCGAACCCCGACGCCGGGCAACATGCAGGCTCCCCTTACTTGCGCACGTATTTCCGGGCTTCATTCTTATCGTAAAACTGCGGGGGAAAAAAAAAGGAAAAGAGCAATAAAGGAGGAATCAAGATGAAGAATCCGCACAGGCAGGGAGAGGGGTGCGCGCGGGGCAAAATTCTCACCAGCTCGGGAGGCCCGCCATGCTCCGGTCTCTTGCTGCGAAACGCCATCTCCCCGCCTCAGCCTCGAGACTGGTACTGACCGTCCGGAAACCCGGCTTTTATGTCATCGGCCCCGCCCACCTCTTAATACGCATGCTCCGCCCATCTCCCCGCCTCCTGCTTTACTCGATTGGCTACAGTGCCGACGCGCTGCGAACAACGCACGCCTCCCATTGGCCAGTGCATCTTGCACCGCCCGCACGGTCCATCCAAGATGGCAGCCAAGCGCGATCTGAGGTGGTCGCGGCGGTTACTGTGGAGGTTGTGGCTGGTCCCGAACGCTCCGCAGAACCCGGGATCCGGCCTGGGCCTAGAAGCGAGGACGTATTCCCAGGGCGACGGCCCATACTCGCGCACCGCGCTCTATGAGCTGCTCGGCGTCCCCTGCACGGCCACGCAGGCGCAAATCAAGGCGGCCTACTACCGGCAGAGCTTCCTCTACCACCCAGACCGCAACTCGGGGAGCGCGGAGGCTGCCGAGCGCTTCACGCGCATCTCCCAGGCCTACTTGGTGCTGGGCAGTGCCACTTTGCGTCGCAAGTATGACCGCGGCCTGCTCAGCGACGAGGACCTGCGCGGGCCTGGTGTCCGGCCCTCCAAGGGGCCCGCCGGCAGTGCCGGCTCGCCTCACGCCCCGCCACCGGCCTCTCGGGCCCACAGTCGTGCTCAGGCCGCGGCGGGCGCCAACCGCACCATGTTCGACTTCGACGCCTTCTACCAAGCGCACTACGGAGAACAGCTGGAGCGCGAACGGCGCCAGAGGGCCCGGCGAGAGGCCCTGCGCAAGCAGCAGGAGGACCGGGCCAAGAAGGGCTTCCGCTGGGACGAGACCCGAGACACTTTTGTGTTTCTTCTCTTCATAGCCTTCGTCATCATGGGCTTTCGTTTTTAATCGGAGAGAGGAGGAGAGGGGAGCAGCCCCCAGCCACCCCAAGAAAACGGCCTTTCCTGTCTTCTCGAACCCTTGCCTTCCATAGTCTACCTCTGCTGGGGTCCGAAGGAACTGCCCTCCCCCTCCTCTTCCCTGCCCGCCCAGCTTAGCCCTTCACCTGCACGTCCCTCCCCTACGGTCCAGACAAGAAGGCTTTCGATGCCCAGGAAGAAGAATCCCGAAAGCCCGAGAGTGAAGGGTTTTCTGGAGTCCCTTGGGTGCCAATTCCAGAGGTTGCCTTCCTGATGTTGTCAACTTCTGGAACACTTGCTCTGGCTTTATTGTAAAGCTCTAAGCAAGCGTTGTCTGCTCTGCCCCACGTTTGTACCGTGGGGGTCCTGTGTAACCTTGAACCCGTGCCATGTGACCAGTTGTTGGCTGCTAAAAGAAAAATTCTGGGGTTGTCCGAACCTTGTCTTTCTGTGAGTTCCCCAGCCACAGGTGAGACCTGATGTAGGGTAAGAATGGGATCTTTGGAAACCTTGCCGTTTTTGTGTGATCAGCCCCAGGCCCCACTCCCCCTTCTGTCCGTGGCATGTGGGAGTGGGAAAGCAAGGTCGTGGAGCATAAGGAATCGAGTGTTCCTGTACCCGTACTTATCTAATGTATGACCTCAGAGAAATTACTCTGGCATGACAGCAGAGGAACAAATCATTTGCTCTCTTGAGGTCTGTCACACTTTATTATCCACAATTCTAATGGGCTCAGTGATTAAAACATGATGTTCGTAGAGTCAAATTTATCCTTGGGACAGTGTGCCTGTCTCCTGGTCATTCCTTGGCCAGCCACCCCATTACTAACTGTGCAGCCCCATCCCCTCCCTGAAGTAGAGTAACAAACTGGGAGTTTGAGTCCAGCAAACTGGGAATGTGGCCTGTCCTCTTGTTTAACCCCACAAGACAAGTCCTTGAAACTTGGCTGCTTGAGTGTGGAGTAGACGGTACTTCTAAGGGAGAGGAGGCATGTGGTGGAAACTTGGGTCTTTATTCAGAGCTGGCTGAGGCTTTTTTCTCTCTGGGTTTCTAAGTCGAGCTAAGCAGTTGGTCATCACTTGGCTGGAGCTGTAGTAGTCAGGCTCTCGATTATGTGTCCCTGCACATGGTGTATGTGTGCGGGCTGTGAGATTTCAGCTGCTCAGGTATTTATGCACTGGGGTTAAGTGTAAAACTGTGGGATAGGAAAATCTTTGCAAGAGATCTACCACAAGAGGGGCGCCTGGGCGGCTCAGTTGGTTAAGCAACTGCCTTCAGCTCAGGTCATGATCCTGGAGTCCCGGGATCGAGTCCCGCATCGGGTTCCCTGCTCAGCGGGGAGTCTGCTTCTCCCTCTGACCGTCTTCCCTCTCGTGCTCTCTGTCTCTCATTCTCTGTCTCTCAAATAAATAAATAAAATCTTTAAAAAAAAAAAAAAAAGATCTACCACAAGAGTGAGGACAGAAGTGTAGGTTCTAAACAAAGCCAGAGGCGCATTGGTAAATTAGTAAGAACTGCTCTTGGGAAATCCTTGTAATTAGGATAAGGCCACAGCTAGTTCAAATTGGTGTCTCGGAAACGATTTTGATTCTAGCCTTGGAAGTCAGGGGCAAGCTCTTAGGACTTTGCAGTGAGCACACGATTCAGTGGTAAAGATTTGAGCCTGCTTTGGATTCAAACTCGGTAGGCTCTGCTAGCCTTGGTTTTTGGGGGGAGGGGCACATGTACTTTTAGAAAGAACATTTAATGTTATTATGTTTCATATTTGGAAAACAAGTCCTTTTTGAAATACAAACAACAGGAAGTGTTCGGCTTAGTAAAATGTGCCAGAAACTAGTGGTTCTCAACCAGGGCAGCTGGACGCATAACAGCGTGTCCTTGGGGCAAGATTCTATCAGAGTTTCTGTCAAAAGGATTGGGGTTCTTTTGGGGGGTAAAAGCACTAGTGGTCTGTGATAGCTGGGACCTTTCTCATGGGCTCCTTGATACAGACCCCCCCCCAAGTTTGTTTTCTGTCAGTAAATATCAAAGCCAAGAACATTCCCTGGGGGCCCAGAACACAGAGGTATATAGAAGGTTCCAGAAGGTTGGGGGAGGGGGCAGACCCTGTGAAACGTCTGTAACATTCCATGCAACTCCAAGCAGGATAGTCAATAAAGTTCATTAATCATCCCAACCGTAAACCTCTCCTTAGGCCTTAGAACCAGGCTCACGCTATTACAGTGCCATCCTGCCTGCCTCAGGTTTGTGTTTTTTTTTTTTTAGCCCAGAGCTGAACTCGAAGGTCCCACTCAATACTCTCCCTAAAACAGAGTCTGGGCCCTTTATGGAAGGGGAGATGTGTGGGAGGCTTTTGAAGGATACCCAGACTGGTTCCCATCATATTTCCCCCTTCCCACCTATCCCTTATCCCGTAAGATTGCCTTAAGTCTTTCCTTTCTCAGTTTCTTACCTGCCCTAAGGAGGAGAGGCTGAACCAGGCCATGAACATTATACCCTGCCTTCTAGGGGCTGCTTCCCAATTCCTGATAGTGGAGGAAGGCTCAGACATGTTCAATTTTAGTCCCTCTTCTCCTTTTGATCACAAACTAAAACAAAACTCCCTGGAAAGTTGGACCTGGGACAGGAGAAGATAACAGCAGCCCAGCCTGCCTCAGACTCTTCATTGGGGTGGGGATGGGGTTGCAAGTACAGCATGAGGACGAATGAGCAGCACACACAAGTCCTGAGCGGGGAGGCACGGACAAGACAGTCGTCAAAGGTGTACTTGTGTAGGCAATCCTGATACTGTTTTTGGACTTGATCAGGACTTTATTTCTCCTGAGCCAAACTTTGCCCTTTGTTGCCTTTTGTTTATTGCTGGGTGAAGTGATCCTTTGCAGATCCCAGCGCTGAGGGAGTAGGATTTCTTGCTTCCCTTCTGAGGTTCTGGCATTTTGTTTGCTTGGTGCACCTTGCCTTCCATAATGATCCTAGCATGAGCCAAGATGAATAAGAATAGCCTACCTTAGACCAATGAGTTGTCCATTTGGTCATTATATATATAACGCACGTGCGCGCGCGCACGCACACACCCACCCACACACACACACAGTCCTTATGGTCACAAGCCTAGACCCCAAGGATGGAGCCCAAGTAAGTTGCCACCGTACTCCTTTTTGGGGAAATGGCAACAGGGTGTAGGTGGCATACCTCAGACCTTCGCAGGAAGGTCACCAGATCCCAGGAAGAGAGGCTAGTAAGTGGTAGCGTTCCTTCAATCTACTGTCTTGAATTCAGTGCCCTAGAAAAGTGGGCTCTATCCTGGTCTTTGCCTCCTTTTAATTCCTCAGCCTTGTGACAAGATCACACACTGCCTCCTGCCAATGATCAGGATCATAGGAGGAGGCCTGCCTTGCCTACCTTCAGTACCTTGGTTCTCAGGCTCAGCTTGTGGGCCTGGTGGCCATAGGGTTTGTGCAAAGCAGTTGAAGGTCCTTCTGTTCCTTTGTGAGGATGACCATGAGACCTGAATCTAGGTCCTCGTGGTGAACTTGCATATACTGAGAACGCTCAGTGCCATCATCCCCGAGAAGCAGGTGCAGAGAGCTCCTCTTCACTTGCTATGAGGTCATGGTGTCACTCTCAACCTCCCTCTTAAGGCTGGGGTCCTCTAGACTTCAAGTGTGTTCGTCCTCCCATCCTGCTTTGTACCCCTTCAGCGTTCACACCCTCAGTTCTGGGAGGGGGTTGCTGGTAGACAAGAGAAGGCCTGTTTCAGGAGGACCAAGAATGGGCTGAGATCTGGTCCCACAGGCCACACGGCCAACCTGCACACCGTGTCTGGCTGTGGCTGGCCCAGCGGCTTCAAAAGCTTTAGCCAACTTTCAAAACTTGGGAGACTGTATAAAAATCGAGATTTCTGACTTCTCTCAAAAAATGAGAAAACACGGGCACCTGGGTGGCTCAGTCGTTAAGCGTCTGCCTTCGGCTCAGGTCATGATCCCAGGGTCCTGGGATCGAGCCCCGCGTCGGGCTCCCTGCTCCGCGGGAGGCCTGCTTCTCCTTCTCCCGCTCCCCCTGCTTGTGTTCCTGCTCTTGCTATCTCTCTGTCAAATAAATAAAATATTTAGAAGAGAGAGAGAGAAAACGTGCTGCCATTGTGCTCACTCACACACTCGTACTCCACTTGGGAAATGCTGTAACATCTGCCTTTTAGAGAGGACATGGCTCCCCCTTTTGCTGCGTTCCCACAGACAGCAGGGAAGTGTAAAAGGCCTTGATCTACACACTTGGCCGTTTTGCTCATAATAGAGAAATGTCTCCTATGCTCCGTGTCTACCAAGAAGGGAAAAAAGGGGACCATGCATTTTCCAGAAAATGGGAGAGGGTGTATTTCTTTGTGGAAATGGACTGCTTTGCACCTCTGTGACCTTCCTAGCCCCAGGAGACATTTGAGTTTGCAGACCCCCTAGGCTACGTCATATGTTGTTACAAGAGCTCACACGTTAAGCAGGGAGGCAGAGTGTAAACCTTATTTTCATTGTGGGACAAGAAAGATCTTTTGAGAAGTCTACAGCAGTGGCAAGGTCCACTGGACAAAGCAAGAGGTCCTTTGGTAGATACAGTAACCTCAATTCCTGCACTCAATCTTTTGTGTAAAATCTTTGTATATATTGGGAGAAACCAACAGCTAGTCCAGCTTGGTCTCTTACACCATTTGATTCTCTCTAGCCTTGGAAGTCAGGGGCAAGCTGTTAGCCCTAGCTTTGCAGTGACCACACCACAATTCAGTAGTAAAGATTTGAGCCCACTCTGGTTCAGGCCTGCTTGGTTCAATAAGCCTTAATTGACCCCCCCCCAAAAATTATGTTTTATATTTGAGAAATAAGGGAAATAAGCTTAGGAAAATACTCAAGATAGTGATTCCTGAACAAGGATGTGTACATAACAGACTTTCTTAAAGGGCAGGAACTCTTTGTTTTTATCAGGAAGGGATAGAAGTTTTGTTATTTGGACAACTTTTTGGTTTGGTCTGTAAAAGCCCTGGTGGCCTATAGTAGATGGGACCTTTCTCAGGGGCCCCTTGATGTAGACTCTCAAGTTTGTTCTCTCTCACAGAGTATTGCAGTCAGGGACATTCCCTGGGGTCCTGGAACCTGGAAACAGAAAAATTCCAGAAGTTGTCAGGCGGCAGAGAGCCCAGACTGCCTGGAACCTTCCAGAGCCTTTCAGAACTTTCCGTGTACCTTCAAGCATGAGGGTTAATGAAGTTTATTAACCATCCAACTCAAAGGCTTTCCCATGGCCCTGAACTGAGCCCACTCCTCTGTCGGTATCTCTACCTACCTGCCTCAAGTCTTTTTTATGCCAGAGCTGAACAATAAAGGGCCTTGTTCCCTACCCCTTGTAAAACTGAGTTTGAGCTCTTAAAGGAAGGTGAGTGGTGTGTCAGACCCGTGGAAGGATATCATCTGGTTCCCTTGGTAACACTTTTCTCCCCTCCCAGCCCCCGCCCTTGGGGTCTGTCATTCCTTTTTCTTCTTACCTGCCCTGGGGAGGGCATGCTGAACTACTAGGCTATGGACATTAGCCTCTGCCTTCCAGAGGCTGCTCCCCAACTCACGATAGCGGAGGAGGGTTCAGACATGCCCAATCACAACTCCTTTTCTCCTTCTGGTTACAAAGCCCCGACCCTGGAAGCCGGGAGCAGGAATGGAAAGCCAGGGCACGAGGGGCCCGGCCTGCCCGAGGCTGTGCTGAGAATGTGAGGGGTCTTCCAAAGCTGTGCAGTCTTCTCTCATCTTAGGCAGGTACCCTGTGGTTCTGGTGTCCCTCAGCCTCCAGCAGCTCAAGCGCTAGCGTGAGGACAGTGGGAGAACCAAGGCCAGTGTGGGGTAGAGCTGCTCAAGTGGGCACTGTCCACGCGTGCTTTGATTGCACCCCTGGCAGGGTGCAATGTGACTGGACTTGAAGGGCTCTGGAAACCTCAAATGGGCCAGTCCCTCCGACCACTGCTGAAACCTCTACAGCTCCCATCAAGCAGTCACTCGGGCCCTGCGCACACATCTTTCTGGAGAGACCCCCATCCTTCCTATGGTTTCCATCCCGTGGTCTTGACTCTGACCTCTGGCTCTACATCTCTAGCCCTTGCAGGTTCAGAGGCTAACCATCACAGGTATCTCAGATCCCTCAACTATTCATTGTGGGGTTCAGTCCCAGTCCCCTTTCTCATCGTGCACATTAGGGACATGCTAAGGAGACCAAAGGTGGTGGTTGGGGGGGGGGGTTACTCTTACAGTTTAAAACTTCAGTGAAGAGTAGAGCCAACCCAATACTTTCCTCTTTCTAGATGGTTCTGTTCCTATTAACATGGACCAAGATCACATTCGCTTCTACGGCACTCTGCCTGCCCCCTCCTGTTTGCAGGGACCTTCCAGGCCTCCCGGCCAAACTGCATCTCGTTAGACTTGACCTAAGCTGACCCAAGGGCCTGTTCCTGCTCTCCCAACTTCTTGTCCCACCCTCATCGGCCAAGCTGGCTATCTAGCATTCACCGTAGTTGAAAACATGACCTTCAGCCTCATAGAAGCCCCTCCAGCCCTCAGGGGAGGTGGTCATTTGGCAGGCCAGAGCAGGAGCAGGAACCGTCCCGACTGGGCTTGCAGGCAACCCAGGAGGAGAAGAAGGTGCATACAGGTGTGGCAGCTGGAGAACAGTGATGGAGCAGAGTGTGCTTCTGGCCACAAGAGTTAGGAAAGACTCCCACGGGTTGGTAATCAGAGGAGGCTTCATGGAAGAGGCAGCAGCACTGCAGGACCTGAAGGACAGCTGGGCTTTGGGTGGGCGGAGAGGAAGGGAGGGCGTCTCGAGAGGAGGACGCGCAGGAGCTCAGGTGTGGAGGCTGCAACAGCAGAGTGGCTGGCTGAGGGAGCAGAGAGACGAGTCGGGGAGCATCGTCTTCCTCATCATCACATTTATTGACGGCCCCTGGCAGGTGGGGCTGGGGACAGAACATACAAAGACAAGGACCTGCCCTCAAAAAGCTTCCATTCTAAGGAGACGGGGACAGAAAAATACAGAATGGTCTTTCCTGGGGATGGCCCACTCGCATCTGCGCAGGTCAGGAGCCCCTGGCCTACCTTGCCCCAGGGTCCGGAGCGTGAGTGGGGCACAGAGTAGCCCCAGGGCCGTGGTGTCCCTGGCCCCGCGGCTGGGGCCTGACCACCTGGCTCCTAGGCGGTAGGCCCCAGAACTGGGGAAAGGCTGGAGCAGGACGTGATGGAAAGCGCTCCTGTCGGCCTTGGCATTGTGCTAGCCCAGTGGAGTGGTAGGGTGCCATCAAGCCCCCTGGAGGGAGCAGGCCCCCTTCCCGGGCCCCCAGGAGGAAAGTTCTTTCATTGGGGAGGCCCCAGCCGGGAAGGAAAAACAAAAAAGGCAGAGTTTCCTCAGTGCCAGAGGCACCCTGCCCACCCCACCTCCGGCCCTCTCTCTGGGCATCTTCCAGGTGGCCCTCCTCCCCAGCTCCGCCTCCAGGGCCAGGGCGTGCCTGAGGCCAGGGGGAGGGGCCTGCCCCTCCCCCCACCCGGACAGTGGGGGGGAGGAGGAGGAGGAGCCACAGATCAAGTTTGTCTGGGCCCCCCCACTGGGGGGCCATTCCCTGGATCCTACCGGTGGGGAGGCTCTGGCTGCGAGGGCCGAGGGCTCAGCAGCGGGGCCGGGCCAAGGGGGCACCCGGGGGAGCCCTTCAGAGGGGGCACTGGGCGGGAGTCCAAGGGAGGCAGGCTCCGGGGCACTGCCGGCGGCCCCCGGGTGGCCCCGGTGGGCAGGACGGCTGCGGCGGGGAAGGGTTTGGGGGGGTCTGCAGCAGCAGTGGGGGCCGGCTGGGCAGACCGCTCCCGGCGCCGCAGCAGCTCCTGCAGCTTCTCCGCCTGGGTCCGCCTCAGGTGGGCCAGGGCGCGGCCGCGCTGGAAGGCCGGCAGGAAGGCCTCCAGGCTCTGCTCCCCCAGCAGCAGCTGCTCCATCTGCTCCTGGGATGGGGGGGGGTGGGGACGGTTTGAGAAGAGCCCCTCCCCCCATACCTCTCCCCCTCCCACCCCTGAATCTCTTCCAGGGGTGACCACCCCATGCTGGGGGATGGGGCCCCGAGTTCTAGCCTGGGCCGCGCCTGGGGCTTGCCGAGTGATTAGGGACACATGTCCCCTGCCGGGTGGAAGATGAGGCAGAACCAGAGATGGGGACACGTTTGGAGTAAACTTAGGTGTCTCTCATCAAGGCCCCTCCTCCGCTGCCTCCTTGGACTCAGGGAGCACTGTGCTCCCAACCCAGCCCGGAGAAGTTAGTCCCAGCTCCTCTGCCCACCCAGTCTCCACTGTCCTATGCTGAGACATTCACAGGTGGGGAGGAAGAGGCTTGCTGTCCAATGAGGACAGCTGGACACCTGCGTAGCGGGCTCTCCTGGGGCCAGGCACTCAGGGTGGGCTTCCTGGAGGAGGGGCTCTCAACCCTGCAGTGTAAGAATGGGGCGGGGATGATGATAGGATGGGTCTCCTTCCCTGCTGTCCCCAGGCCCCGCTGCCCCCTCCCCTCACCTCAGCCTCCTGCTCAGCCTCTTCCAGCTCAGCCTGCAGCCAGCCCAGCGCACAGTGGGGGCTCCAGCGATGCATGCTCTCCTCTGAAGGCCACAGAGGGACAGAGTAAATAGCTCCTGCCTTCAGGGCCCATCGCTTGGGACAGACAGGCCAGAGCCCCAGGGCCCAATCCTGCACAGACCCCTTGTGTGACTCTCTGCTTCTCTTTGGAGCCTCAGGGTCCCGCCCATGGGGTCAGTTTGTGAACCTCCCCACCGGGGTTCTGCCCCAGTCCTAGCACAAAGAGGAAACAGAGGCTTTGCCCCCTAGAGCACCCTGGGCCACTTTTCTTCCCCTACTCAGAGCCCCCTTCTGGCCTTTCCAACCCAGTTCTACTCAGGGACTGCCCACTTCCCCAACTCAGTTTTCCAGGAGCAGCACCCCGAAGACTTGCCCAGGGAAGAGGTCTGCCCTTCAGAGCCTCGCCCTTCCCAAGGCCAGCCGGCCAGAAGGCCGACTGCGCCCACCGCAGGCAGTTCTCCCAGGTGTCCCTCACCCAGTCGCTGTAGCTTGTCCGCACAGCTCTCCGCCACCTCTCGAAGCTCCTGGTACTTGATGGCCAGGGCAGCCCGGCCCATCTCCAGGCGGGGCCGCAGTGCCAGGTTCTCCTTGGCTAGCGCGTAGTTGGAGGCCAGGCATGCCTCGCGCTCCAGCTGCAGACCCTGGAACTGCCAGAACAGACAGAAGAGCGGAGAGGCCCACTCAGGGAATCTGCCCAGGTCCCCCTACTGCCCCACCCCCACCCAGGGCAACAGGGCCCAAGGGCCAAGCCCTAGGCACCTCTGTCTTCAGGAGGTCGGGCTAACAGGTGGAGGGACTGCAAGAGGCCTAGTCGGGGCTTTGCCTTGAGCTCCCTCTCTGGGCCTCAGTTTCCTTTTATACAAAGTAAGCAGAAAACATCTACCTTATGGGGTTGTTGTGAACCCAAGTGAGGAAAACGATGACCGCCTCCACAAATGTTAGTTAATTTTTAATTTTTCAATTAATATGTCTGCTCAGGTCCCTAAGGAGTCCCCCGCCCTCCTCTGTCCCATTTTCCATGCATGGGCAGCTTCCCTCTCATTCCAGGCCTTTGTCTGCTTCCTCTTCAGGTGTGTGTGCCGAAAACACTCCCCCCCTGCTCTTACTCTCCAGAGTGATGTCTTCACCCTGTCCCCGCGTGGTACCCCCCTCAAGCCACCCTCTCTTCCTTTTGCACCCCTCCTCCTGCCTCCAGTGGAATCCCCACACCCCAGGGAATACACACCCCCTTCTCCTCCCTGATCCCCAGCACCTGCTCCCAGCTTTTCCTTCTCTTGCAGAAAGCAGACCCCCTTTCTCTCCCGGCTCCTTCTGTTTGTCGGAGGGCCAAGCCCCCCTCCCTGCCCCTGGAGAACGCACTACCCTCCATCTGTCCCCTATAGGATGCACATGCCCCTCCTGTCTGCCTCCCTCCAACAGACACTTTCCCTTTCTGCCCCCCACAGACAAGCAGCCCGGGCCTATCTCCGGTGAAATATACAACTTTCTCTTATGGTGGCCTACGGAAAACCCGCCTCAGCTTCCAGTACGCCTCCCCAACGGAAGCCCCAAAGCCCCCTCCGGCACCCCTAGAATGCGGTCGCCCCCCCAGAGGTTCCCCCCCCAGGTGCCAAACAGGCCCCTAGTTCTCCCCTATGGAAGGCGCCTCCCCTTTCTGGCCCTACAGAACGTGGGTGTGCGAGACAGGGCCCCCCACAACACAGCCACCCCCTGTCCCCGGAACACACCTCCCCGGAGCATCCGCTGGAGGACACGCCTCGCGGCCATCCCGGGGGTGCACGGGCGCCTCCCTGGGTCTCCGGCGCCCCACCCGCCCCAGGCCGGCTCCGGGCGCCCCCTCCCCTGGGGGCGGCTCCGCGAGGCCCACTCGGACGTGTCAGGTTCCCGCGGCCCCGCGGCCCGGCCCGCGCGGCCCTTCGGTCGGTCAGCAGGTCCGGCAGGCCGCGGCCCGTCCCCCGCGCCCCCCGCCCGCGCCCCCCGCGCTACCTTCCTGCTGAGCCGCACGATCCGGTCCAGCTTGGGCTCGTCCTGAAGCAGGTCCCGGAGCTGCCCGGTGCTGAGGATCCCAAAGCGCCCCGGGCTGCCGGGCTCCGGCCCCGCCCGCGCCGCCCGGGCCCGGTACATGCCGCCCGCCCGCGCCCCCAGCTCGGCTGCTGGCTCGGCCCGCTCGGCCCGCTCCGCCCCGGCTCCGCTCCGCTCCGCTCCGGCTCCGGGATCCGGCTCTGGCTCCCGCCGCGCGCGGCGCTCCGCCGCCAGAGGGCGCCCCGCCCGCTCTTAAAGGGGCCGCGGCGCTGGGGCTGGGGGTGGGGCGGGAGGGGGCGGGCCGCACCCGTGGCCGCCCCGGCGGAGCCGCGCCTCCCGCACCCGCGAGCTCGCGGCAGAGCCATCCTCCTTCCGGTACCCAGGGGGGTACCGGAGGCGGTCTCTCTCCGCACCCCTTCTCCGGCCGTCATTCACCACGCCCCCCCCAGGCGCGGAAGCTCCCACCCCAGGCGTTTACAGTTTGCAGGGCTCTTTCACGTTCCTCCCTTGGATTCGCACAACAATTTCCCGAGTTTGGCTGGGCGCCAGGAGCTTCTGCCCTGTTGCTAACTCGGGCAAGTCATTTACCTCCCCAAGACTCAGTGTTCTCTTCTGTAAAATGGGGCGATGACGCACCAGCTGAGGTTTCGAGCTGGTGAATGCTGAGTGTCTTACCTGTAGCAAGTGAATACCTAATGTGAGTGATTGTCGTATTAGAGATGGGGAAACAGATGCACACAGATGATGTCATCTCCCCAAAGTCACATTACAGGTGAATGAGAGACAGTCTCAGCTCTTCCTGTCTGTGCAGTGTGCACAGAGCACGTGGTGCCTCTCTGTGCCGGGCACTGAACTAGGCTGTGTGAGGGCATGGTCTCTGCCCTCAGAGAGCTCGGGGATTGAGGCAGAGTCACATTCTCAGCTTCCTTTAGTACGAGAGAGAACGGCAGGTGTCACCACATGGTGTCTTCCTTTGTGATTCCCGCGTGACGCCAGAGGATGTCGCGTACCTTATCTTCAAGAATAGGCTTGGCCAGTGCCCTTGTCAGGAAAGACACTGAGAGATAAGTCCCTTGCCTAAAATCAAGCAGTGGTGACAGCTTGCTCCATCCACCTCACTGCACTGAGAAAGCACAGAGGTGGGACCAGGACGATCAGAAAGCCTCATGGGGGTGGAGCTGGGGAGGAGACCCCAGAAGAGGTGATATTTGAGCTGGGTTTTGAGGGATGAATAGGAGTTCTGAAGCTGTAGAGAAAAATAATGAACCCAGAGAGAAGTTCATCAGCCAAGGAGTCTCCCAATCCAGCCAGATCACACCGGGCATGGTAGAGATATGTGAGAAGGAGAGACGAAACGGGCTGTCCGTTGGAGAGTTGCCCGATGGAGTCGAGCAGGACAAGCTTGTTGACAGACAGTGACGACAATTTTCCTTCCACATTTTTATGATAACTGAAATTTGGTTTTCCCCTTCAAGACTCAGCTGGAAGACCACCACCTCCAGGAAGCTCTCTCTCCCTCCCCAGGCTGGGTTGTGTGCCCCTCTCTTCTGGGCTCCTACAGTGCCTGCTGTCCCTCCACCCTGGTCCTGACCATTATCAAGAGCACCTCTGCACTTCCCAATTTCCTGGCTACGATCTCCCTGGTTCTGCTCTGCCTCCTCAGGACCCACCATTTCCACTAAGCTTCCAGAGTTCTCCTAGACACTCCCTGCTACCTGGCCCTCCTTTGGCCCCTCCCTACTCCGGGCTTCAGGACTTCTTCACTCTGGGAAGGCGCCGGTTAGATCTGATGGGAGACGCCTGTCTCTGCTCATCCCCTCTGTCTTGCCACTCCCCCCCCCTTGTTCAGTGGACCCTCTGTTGAATGCCCCACAACAACGCATCCCGTAAACCTTCCCCACACCAGACCCTCGCACCCACTCCTGCCCCTCTCAAGAGAACTCTGCGGCCCATCCCATGGAGGAGCTTCTGCCAACTTTCTGCCTCACCTCTTTGGGTTTTTTCTGCGTCTACCCCGGTGCCCTTCCTTGCCCACTGTGCCCCTCGTTCCAGAGCCAACCCAGGTACCTTTGCTATGGGTCTCACCTTCACCTGTCTCCCCCGAGATGCCTTGACCCAATCTAGTAGTTATGTCTCTCTTCCTCTCTCTGGCTCTTTCACCTTTAATCTCTACCTTTAGACTGGCACCTTCCTTTCATCACCACCCCCAATATTTTCAAGTAACTTGTGATGGACTGAATACTTGTGTTCCAACCCCCCCAACCCCGCCGCCAATTCCTATGTCAAGGTCCTAACCCCCAGTGTGATGGTTATTTAGAGGTGGGCCTTTGGGAGGTGAGTGGTTTTCGATAAGGTCATGAGACTGGGGCCCCATGATGGGATTAGTGTCCTTACAAGAAGGGGAGGAGAGACGAGAGTTCTTTCTCTCTCCATCGTGTGAGGACACAATGAGAGGGTGGCTCTCTGCAAACCAGGAAGAGGGCTCTCACCAGAAGCCCCATCTGCTGGGACTTTGCTCTTGGACTTCCCAGCCTCCAGAATTCTGAGAAAGAAAAGTCTCTTGTTTAAGCCACTCGGTCTGTGGTATTTTGTTTCGGCAGCCCGGGCGGATTAAGACATCCCCTGTACCCTGCCCTGCCCATTTCCTCATCCTCCTTATTCCTTGACTCAGTCTGACTTCACCCCCTCTCTCACCACTTCGAGGGCACTGCTCAAAGCCAAGGTCATTGGCCACTTCCTTACTGCCAGGGCTGCTCTTTTTCATATTCCCCGCCAATGACCACCATCTCTTCCTTGACCACACTGCGGTCAGAGCCCAGACATTTCATTGCCATCAGGTTGGTGAAAATTAAAAAGTCAGATAACATCAAATATTGGTGAGGAGGGGAAGCAACAGGAATGCTTATGCTCTGAAGGTGGGAGAGAGAAGCGATTCTTCACTCCAGAGAGTGATTTGACAAGCTCGCCATTCAAAGACTCCCTCCCCGCATCACATCACCCAGCTCTTCCCCTCTGTCCACAGCCTAAACCCTAGAAAACTGTGAATATGTTACCTTACAAGGCAAAAGGAACTTTGCAGACGTGATTAAATTAAGGGTCTTGAGATGGGGTTGGGGGTTTGTCCTGGATCATCCGGGTGAGCCAATGTAATCACAAAGGTCCTGATTAAAGGGAGGCAGCAGGGTCAGAATCAAAAGAGTTGTGGCAGTGAAGTAGAGGGCTAGAGTCAGAGAGAAGCTTGAAGACACTGTATTGGTGGTTTTGAAGAGGAAGGAAGGAGCCTCAAGGTAAAGAACAGAGGCAGCCTCTAGAAGCCAGAAAAGGAAAGGAAATGCATCCTCCCCTCAAGACTCTGGAGGGAGTGTGACCCTGCCGACACCTTGACTTCAGCCCAGGGAAACCCATCTTGAACTTGTGACGTCCAGACCTGTAAGATAACAAATTTGCAGGGTTTCAAGGCACGGATTTGGTCATTTGTTATAGCAGCGATAGGAAACTAATACAAACTCGCAGGAATTTTTGGTCTCTTAGACTAGGAGACAAGAACGGGAGTGTTCATAGTGGCTCTACTTGTAATAATAGAAAACTGGAAACAACCCAAATGTCCAACCCCCGGAGAGTGGCAAAGGAGCCGAGGAACCTTCACACATACAGTCAGTCCTTTGTACTAAACACCAACGGACATGAGCAAATTATAGCTACACATGTCTATTTGGATGAATCTCACAAACAACACTGAACGAGAAGAGGCAGCCTCCAGTGTAGTGCTGTTTATACAAAGTTTAGAAACATGCAAAACTATACTTCCTATTGCTTGGAGATATGTACAAAGTAAAAGTGGGGACAAAAAATACCAAATTCAGGAGCATGGCTGTCTGGCAAAAGGAGGATGGAGGGGAGGCGCCTGGGTAGCTCAGTCGGTTGAACATCTGCCTTCGGCTCAGGTCGTGATCCCAGGGTCCTGGGATCGAGCCCCGCATTGGACTCCCTGCTCACTGGGGAGTCGGCTTCTCGCTCTGCCCTTCCCCCAACTCACGCCCGCTCATGCCCACTCATGCCTGCTCATGCTCTCTCTCTCTTAAGTAAATAAAAAAATCTTAAAAGAAAAAGAAAAAAGGAAGGAGGATGGAATCAGGGAGGAGACCAAGGGAAGTTCAATAGCATTGAGTGACAGTTCGATTTCTTAAGCCAGTGGGAGTACACAGTATTATTCTTTATATTTTTAGTAAAGTCTGAAAACTTTCATATAAAATTAATAATTTTTAGGGTCTATTTTTAGACTTGGAGTCAGACAGACCTGGATTCCTTTCTGAGCTCCGCCACTTCTTGTGTGACCGAGAGTAAATTCCTTAATTCCTTGAGCCTCAATTATATTATCTGTAAATTGGGTAGTTGAAGGATGTGAGCTGATATGTGTCTTGCATGATGCCTGACATCTACTCGGTGCTCCAAAAGCAACAGCTGTGATGTGTTTCTCTCTCTGGAAACGCTCCCTCGGTTTTAATTTATGGAGTACCTACTATCTGTCAGGGACTTCCAGGGGCTGACCATACTAAGGGGACACTTCATCTTCATGGTTCTGCTCCCTGGTTCAGTGTTTAAATTCATTCTTCTCCAAAAGCCCAATTGCTACCCTCTTTAAAAAAACAACAACACAAAACAACGAACAAAACAAAAAACAGCTCTATTGAGATATAATTCACATGCCATACAATTCAACAATTTAAATTGTATGATTCGGTGATTTGGTGTACATCAGCACAGTCAGTTTTAGTACATTTCCATCACCCCAGAAAGAAACTCTGTACCCATTAGCAATCACTCCCCATTCCTGCCCCAATCGAGATCACAACCCAAGCCAAAAGCAAGAGTCAGTCGCTCAACCAACTGGGCCACCCAGGCGCCCCTGGCTTCTTTCATTTACCCTAATGTTTTCAAGATTCATTCACACTGAGGGTGCCTGGGTGGCTCAGACAGTTAAGCCTCTGCCTTCAGCTCAAGTCATGATCCCGGGGTACTGGGATCGAGCCCCACTTCTGGCTCCCGGCTCATCAGTGGGGGTCTGCTTCTCTCTCTAACCCTCGTTTGTGCTCTCTCTCACACTTACACTCTCTCTCTCTCTCAAATGAATAAATAAAACCTTTTTTAAAAAATTCATTCACATTGTAGCATTTATTACTACACGAGTCCTTCTGATTTTGGGGGGA